TCATTGTTGACTCGTTTCAGTTTCTTCCTTTTTTTCATGCAATTTTCGGCAAGAGCTTCCATTAATGGTGAAAGGTTGAGTTTTTTTTTTTTTTTTCGGTTTTCATTTTTTCTTCTTCTTCTTCTGGGTTTCTCTGATAGCTTTTTAGGATTTGATGTCGGTGGGATCTCTGTTCTTATGTACATGACCTGTAAATTGCAAATGGTAGTTGTGCTATTTCACTCTCGTCCTCTCTCCTTTGTTCACTCTTCCACAAGAAAAACAGAGAGAGAGAAGATATTTTCTTCATGAAAGTTTTGGACTTTGGAATTTCTTGCAATTACCCATAAAGGAATAATTTTTCTCACTGTTTTTTTGTTGGGGTATTGATTTTGATTACAGATGTTAGCATGAGTTTTTCACAGGATATGGATGATGAGTATGAGAAACTCATTAGAAGAATGAATCCACCGAGGTAAATTCAACTTATTCTCTTCCTATTTTTTTGGTTATAAACCATTTTAATATATCTCTGAGATTGATGTTTGGATTTGAAAAAAAAAACTCTGTTTTTTGGTTTTATAGGGTTGTGATTGATAATGACTCTTGCAAGAACGCAACTGTGATAAGGGTATAACTTTCATTTTGTTTTTAGTTCATATTCACTCTTCTGGTGTTATCATTTCAACCTTGTCCTGAATTTAGTTTATCTTGATGTTGTTTCTTAAGGTGGATAGTGCAAATGAATATGGGATTCTTCTTGAAGTTGTGCAAATCCTCACTGATCTAAACCTCACTATCACCAAAGCTTACATTTCCTCTGATGGTGGTTGGTTCATGGATGGTATGTGCTCCACTTCTTAATATCTTCTTTTGTCAATTTCTTTTACTTAATATCTTCTCTCTGTGCACATGGCAGTGTTTAATGTCACAGACCAAGATGGAAATAAAGTCACAGACGAAGTTGTCCTAGACTATATCCAAAAAGTGAGTTTTTTTCTTGTTCTCCTCTTGTTATGTGAGTTATGTGTAAAATGAGTCTAATGAGTGTGTGATTTGTGGTTTAAATCCTCAGTCTCTTGGGCCTGAAGCTTGTTTCTCAACCTCCATGAGAACAGTTGGTGTCATACCATCAACAGACAGCACGGTCATCGAGTTAACCGGATGTGACAGACCAGGTTTGCTCTCTGAGCTGACAGCTGTCCTGACCCACCTCAAATGCAGTGTCCTAAACGCCGAGGTCTGGACACACAACACCAGAGCAGCTGCTGTGATGGAAGTGACAGATGACTCAACCGGGTGTGCCATTTCTGATCCTGAGAGACTGTCTCGGATCAAGAACCTTCTCAGGAATGTGCTCAAGGGAAGCAACGCACCGAGGGAAGCCAAAACCGTTGTCTCTCACGGTGAGGTCCACACGGATAGGAGGCTACATCAGATGATGTTTGAAGACAGAGACTATGAACAACGTTTGGTGGATGATGAATCATCCTCCATTCAAGATGATAGGCAGAGACCAGATGTTTGTGTTGATAATTGGCTTGATAAGGATTACTCTGTGGTCACAGTTAGATGTAAAGACAGACCAAAGCTTCTCTTTGACACTGTCTGCACTTTAACTGATATGCAGTATGTTGTGTTCCATGGAAGCGTTGATACTGAAGGCACAGAAGCTTATCAGGTAAAACCCACAGAGAACAAGATACTATCTTCTTGTGTTACTTTTTTGCTTATGTGTTTAGTCCTTTTGCTTTGCAGGAGTATTATGTGAGACATATTGATGGATCTCCTGTGAAATCAGAGGCTGAGAAGCAAAGAGTCATACAATGTCTTGAAGCAGCTATCAAAAGAAGAGTATCTGAGGTAAACATTCACAGATTATGTTCTCTTATATGTGTATATTCTTTTGTAACTCTGCTTTAAGATCATTGTCTTTTCTCCTCAATGGTGGTTTAGGGATTGAAGTTGGAGCTGTGCACAACGGATAGAGTAGGCTTACTGTCAAATGTGACTCGGATATTCCGTGAAAACAGCTTAACGGTCACAAGAGCTGAAGTGAAAACCAAAGGAGGCAAAGCTGTGAACACATTCTATGTGAGCGATGCGTCTGGTTACTCAATTGACGCCAAGACTATAGATTCCATAAGACAAACCATTGGCCAAACTATCCTCAAAGTCAAGAACAACCCTGAAGAGCAACAGCAAAGACTGAAACCGCCTTCACAAGAATCTCCGACTAGGTTTCTCTTTGGTGGTCTCTTCAAGTCTAAATCTTTCGTCAACTTTGGATTGGTTCGGTCCTACTCTTGAAGAAGAATCTTCACTTAGCTGTGAGCTTTAATCTCTTCTTCTTAGGTTCTTAACTTCTTTTAAAAGCTTGAGAAAAAAATTGTAAATTTTATCTCCAGATGTAACCTTAATTCTTGGTCTAGGATAGGGCAAAAGACAAAAAAAAGGTTTTTAGTTGATGTCATGACTAAGTGTTAAGTGTTAACCTCTCTTCTTGTATATATTATCAAAATCCTTATAATCGTCTCCATGACTCCATTGATATCTTCTTCTTTAGATGTTACAGCCTAAATTATATGTCTAAAGAAAATTTACTACATGAGCTTAAACCGTATATTAAAAATAAGTAAAGTAATACAGAATCATGGGAGGTGAAATATTTCAGAATTGGGTAAAATTTCAACGGACTTTTGCTATTTTGGAACGAAATATGGGGTTTTGGGACATATCAATCCTCGTTTACTCCAATTTGCTCCCTAATTTAAGGAGATGATTCCAAAGAAGCCTCGACATTTACATAAGTTCAAGAGAAAGAACAGAAAAACCAAAGGAGGACCAAAAGAATACTATATACTAACATACATTGCATCTAATCATCAGTTTGAACCTAGAAGACAGTGTTAATGGGATATTTAAAAGCTTAAGAGCAAAAAAAAAAAAAAAAGAAAAAGACAAAACAACGTGCAGATAAACAGTAACACATCACAACTAAATGGCTTCCATCACTTGGTTTTAAAGTTGAAAGATTCTAAGAGATTAATTTTCTAGTTTTTTTATGAGTAACTGAAATATATCTACATATATTTATCAGTTGAGAATGCATGAATAGTTTAGTGAAAATTTAACAATCATATTTTTGGTAGGCATCTAACTACTGTAAATCATGGATAATCATGATTGTCGATGTAAAATATACTAGTCAAACTCTTCCAAGTGCAAATGATGATACTCAAGAAACTGCAAAAGCAATATTGATTGATCAGCTATCAAAATTTTCAAGAACAACATGTTTCAGAGTGTTAATGGAGCTACATGCTAAAACTAAAATATGATCGCCAAGGCTCTATGAATCATTCAGACATACAACAAAATTATAGGTCATCAAGTGTCTAGTTGTTAGCTTAAGTGGAAATGTACCAAAAGAAAAGCCTAGAGGTTGGATGATGAATGACAAGACGAAACTTAGAACCTCATAATCACAAAAACAAAGAAGATTTATAAGATCGATCTGTTCATCAAAAAATTTTGAATTGAAAACCATAAACTTAAAGAGTAGTATGATATGTAAATATGTATATACAAAAGATCTAACAATATATAAATAAGAAGCTATCTATACTATTGAAAGGGAACATGTGAGGGTGTGGACTGTAGAGATATTGTCACTGCAAACTTTATGGGGCGTGTTTACTGAAACTATGTCGAAGTGTGTATAGATTCTCGAGTCACATGGCGAGACCAACAAAGTGAAACCTCCCCACCACCACCACCAAAGCTTAATATTTTTCATATTCTCACACCGCCCATTTTTCACAATTCATTGTTAATTTTACATGTTACATTTTCTTCTTTAATTCCAAATTTTCTCATAATTACTTAACTAAACATATTAACATGTGACTCGGCTCATCTCATTGTTCTCAATACATGGCTTTCTGTGTAGGTTTAAGATACTTCATGGCAGAGGAAATCTTTTTCAGTTTCAGGGATTGTCTACAGATTATATAAACTATGAGTTTGCAGACTATTGTCTAATTAGTTCAATTGGTGGACTACACATGCAAATTTAATAACATGTTTAACTACATATTGTTTTAATCACGAAACTGTGAGTCTTTTTCTCTAATAATCAAAATTAGATCTCTACTGTTCAAATTATTTTTGCTACTTAGCAAATTAAATGACAAAAAAGGTGTTCTTCAGAATCCAAAGAATATTTTGATCAATCGGAGAAGTTGAGTTTTCCTGTCGGTTAATCATTTTTGGATATATCTCATAATTACTAAACTAATTTTCAGATAAATGAGAATGATATGAGCCGATGATGAAGACAATCATATCACAGTTATTATGGTCAATCACATATCAGTCACATTGATTGTGTATCTGTGTTCTCTAATAATATCTACTATGTTAAGCATTACACTAATATAATGTGAGATATAATTAGAAGAAAACCTAATGGATTTTTATAGAAAAGAATTAGCTAAAAGCCTAAAAATATAAGAGCCGTACGCGGTCACATGTTTCCAACAACATTGGTAACGCATTCCTCATGCCAAAATTAATCCACATCTAGAAGAATAAACACACAAAAATTGTCAAAAAAAAGAAAAAAAACACACTAAACATAACATAATAGATTTTCAATTCATACATATCCAATCTATTGACCATTGACCAGTTTTTTATTGATTTTTATTTTTGCCATATTGAGTCAATTCACGCACCACACAACCACCACACTTTTTCACCCATTTTCTATTTTATTTTTCTAATTTTTAACTAAAAATTATCCATACACCTAATTACTCTAATATAAAATCCCTCAAGCTAAGCAACTCCTAATTTTCCCCATCGTCTTCCTCTTTAAAAGTCAGATTTAAACCCTTTATATAATAAAAACAAGCACCTAACGTGAGTATCAACATCACAAAGCCAAACACCAATCCACAAAAAACAAGAAAACTTGATACGTTTTCAGTTTGAATCAAGAATCAAGAAGAACAAAAATGGAGGAAACAGGGCGTGGAGGAGATCCGTTTCCTGGTTTTGAGATGAGTTTTCACAAAGACGATTGCATTTTCCAGCGATCTCTTAGCTGTAGGCTTCAGAGACAAGCCCCTTGTCCTCTCCTCTTACCACCAAGACCTCCTCCTTCCGCGGTGGCTCCTCCTCCGACCAGCGTGTCCGCGTCTGAGTTTTGTCGGAACGGCACAGATCCGATCCCTCTCTTGTCCCCTCTCGTCCTTCCTTCAATGCTTCAACCAAATCCCGCAACCACCTCTCACTGAGTCTTTCTTTTGATAATCTCTTAGGTTCTTTTTTGTTTGGTTCGATACTTTGATGTAAATGACAATTACCAATGTTCTTCAACTCATTGATCCATTTTTTTTTTTTTTGTTAATTGGCTTTCTCTTTGAAATCTTGTTCTTTCTTAACTTTGATAAAATTGAAAATTTTCTTTAACATCATTTACATTTTGTACAATATCCACAATCTTTGCTTATATTATCAAATGTTATACTATCAAGTATCAACTATCTTGTTCAATTCAATGCGTCAAAACATTCCACCAAAATTTGTTTTCGATCCATGGCTTCTTCAAGCAATTATTAAACCAAGAAAAACAAGAACCCCTCTAGGTTTATTTCACGAGGATAATCTATAGTCATCTCATGGCTTCATGCCCCTAAACCTTTGGCTTCGTGTATCAATAAAAGAGGTTATTTTGTAAGGAAGAAAGTGTGTGTATAATAGTGACATTTTGCACCTCAATCCACTTACACTATGCCTATTGAGTTTGGTCTAGTAGAATCGGAATTGATCCAAAAATTAGATAAGACAAAGACTTTTTTCTAAGCTTCCACAACTACCAATAAACCCAAAGGGAAATGATTTGCAACAATCTCTTCTTTATTTAATTTTAGAGGTCCCCCAATCTAAAGCTAGAAGAAACACAAGTCTCTGCAAATTTTTCTCTAATGATTTGATTCCATAAACAATGATGTCTTAAATCACACATAACAAAATAAAGAAACCTAACGTGAAGAGTGGAAATTCAATCCCACTAATTTAGGAGACACACCAAGGCCAAATCTCTTTATCTTTGAACTAGTGGACGTCGGTTTAGGCCGGTTAAACGGTTGGTTCTCATCATCAATGCACATGTTTTTTTTTTCTTTACAAAAACAGCAATGCACCTTGAGACTATACAAATTATTATACAATCTTTTTTTTTCTTTCTTATGTCTTGTTTTACTGTAATTTGGTAAATCCTGACTTTTGTTTTAAAAGCAAACCATCACATTTTTGAAAACTAATAATCTTCTTTTAAAAAATTTGGGAAGCAAAAAAATGTTTATTTATTTTCACCAAAGAAGAGCCAAAAGGATATTTTTAAAAGCTATTTTAAAAAGTTGGATTTTGTATCACCAAATTTTGTTGTTGTTGGGATCATTTTCATTGGAGCAAATCAACGTAGAACACATGAAGACCACTCGAACTTGGGCTAACGTGTGTACTTGAGCTCGAAAATTGACTTTGATTACATATTATTGAACATAACCATACCTCTTGCTTCTATGTTTTTCTCAATTTCGTTCACATGCATCCCCAGATCGGAGAACAATCGCGCTGACTCTCTTGCCAAGATTGCAAACGTTTGTTTCTCTGTGTTTGGTTTGGTGCCTGAACCGCTTGTAACCGGTTAAGTTTTTCTTTATTAAAAAATCGTTCAAAAAAAAAAAAAAAAAAACCAATACCTCGGTAATTAATTTTGCCAAATTTCTCTTAATAAAAGTTCTAACTAAAACACCTTATCATTCGATTTGTGTTCGTTTAGGTTAATAAAAAATTGAACCAGTTTCATTTAATTAAATTTCCTTTTGAAGAAAACTTTTCAAATTTCAAATAAAACGTCCAAAAACCCTACACTATCACAAAAAATGCATGTTTTTAGAGATTAAAGTCACACTAACGACTTTCGAAAGGTGAGAGAAATATTAATACGCAGGCAAAATTAATAAATGTTTACGGTGACACAAGTTTCACACTTAGTCCAAAGACAGACCAATCAACGAACGAAACCCAATTTTCCCATTCGTCGGTGAAGCTGTTGATCGTCAAGCCACGTCTCCTGAGGTGCAGGACACGAGTCGCTCCACCCCAAATCTCATCTTCCTCCTGGACACGATTTCCTAACGAAGTTATCGTTTTTCTTTGATTTCGTGGCTTTTTTCGTCAAACCCAAAAATTAGGGTTCAGTTTTGAGCCACAAAATCTCGTCTTCCTCCGTCGTCTTTCTCCAGAGGTTAGTGTCAATTTCTTCAAATCCTCGCTCACTGACTATTTTTCAAATTTTGTGTTTGATTCAGTTTTGCTAATCGACTCGTCGATAAACCATAAAACCTAAAATACGTCGCGATTTCGATTAGGTTTTCAATTGCTGGTTTCGATTTCAGCCGAGTTTCGTTCGGAAGATTCCAGATACTTAGTTCACGCCTGTGATCGTTTCTAGGTTTCGTATCGTGTAGTCTTTGATTACTCACCAATCTCACTCTGTTTGATTTGTTATTACGTTCGTCTCTCAGATTGCTCTCAAAATTGAATATGGCTTGAGACTATGTGAATGTTAATATGGATGTCTGCAACAGCAACTGTGACTACACCTCAAAGCAGAAGCTTTGAGACATCTCTCAACACAAGTCCCTTCATTTCTCCATATACGCGTAGAGAAGCAATGGGAGAGAAGAGTCAGTTTAAACCACGTTCCGGGAATCGAATGCCTGCAAAGAGATGCAGCGCAAATGGTACGATGAACGAGTTTATAGTTTTGGATGATGATGAGGATGAAGTTCTTGATTTCCCCGAGTCGTCGAAAGCCAAAGGTCCTGTTTTGCCGAAAGTGATTAGCATTGACGACGATGATGATGATGACGATTGCCAATTCGTTCAAGAGAAGCGTGCTCCTTTTAGTTTGAGAAAATGTACACGCACAACAATGCCCTCTACTCGTTCTGGAACTCGATATGGTTTAGGTCCTGAATCTGAGAGTGATGTTTCAGGGAGCGACTGTTCTGATTGCGAGATTTTAGACAGCGAGCAGTGGGAGAAAGCTAACAAAACGAAGAAAGCAGGTAAAGCTGGTACGAGTGAAGAGGCTGGTCCTTCAAATCTCCACTGTGACACTAACTTCGGGCCTCGTTTTGAAAGTGGAGCTGATGATGGTGGGAAAGAATCGTCTTCAACTTTCTTTGAAACCGAGGTAACTGAGGTATCAGGTAAAGCTGGTTTGAGTGAAGAGGCTGATCCTAAAGATGTCGACTGTGACGCTAATGTAACGCCTGGTTTCGAGAGTAGAACTGAACAGCATGATCAAACTTCAGGTAAAGCTCCTCTGAGTGAGGAGGCTGGTCCTTCAGATGATCTCCACCACCGTGAGTCTACTTCCGGGCCTGCTTTTGAGAGTAGAACCGAGGCTCCTGATCAAACATCTGCAAGAAATCCAGATTGTGGAAAAGAAACTTCGTCATCTTTCTTTGGAACCGAGAAATCAGGTAAAGCTGGAATGAGTGAGGAGGCTGGTCCTTCAGATATCCACCGTGACTCTGATTTCGGGCCTGGTATTTATTTATTTGGTTCGCGAGTGGAGGTAGGCAACGGAGCTAAAAACTGTGATGATGATTCCAGGTTCTTCTGTAAAGAGAAGTTTCCGTGGTCGTCACCCGAAGTACAAGTTGAACATGAAAGTTCTGGTTCACCATCGGCTCATTTTACTTCTCCAAAAGAACCGATACATGAAAATGGTTCTGAAGAAGCTGAGAAAGAGGTCGACACAGTGCAAGTTCAGTGTGAAACTTCACAGTTGCGCAAAGGGAATCAAAAGAAAAAGGCTCCAAAAGCGAAACAAATGAAGAACGCTCCCAAAGCGAAGAAGGCGCCGAAACAGACTCCAAAGAAGAAGGCACCCAAAGAGAATCTCAAGAAAACGGCAGCAGATCAGTCTCATACCAAGGAAGTTGTTGAAGAAGAAGAAGAAGATGCCGCAAAATCTGCTCCGCCACAGACCTCTGATGGAGATACAACGACTGTGCTTGGCAACGAAAGTGATGAAACCAGGCGTGAGCATGGGATCTTAATGGAACTAATCATTGATCCTATCCAATCTACAAGTGAACAATTGCAAGGTACAGCTCCTGTAATCGATGTCATGCTTAACAGAGAAATGTTGAAGGCGACGGATGAATACAAGAAAGCACAAGAAGAAGAATGGGAGTCCAGGCAACAGCAGTTACAGCTCCAGGTTTAACCACTCTCTGCTTAAACATTCGAAACCTTCTGTATGGGGGAATCTTTGTCTTAAGTTTGTTTTTTAACCTTCTTGTGGAAATTGTGTTACAGGCAGAAGAATCTCAGAGGCAACGGAAGAGAAGAAAGCTAGAAAACATGCGAAACATGCGACAGTTGGAGGTTGAAAGAAGGCAAAAGGAGAGGGTAGAAGAAGTGAGAGAGACACAGAAGAAGGTTAGGTTTCGTCTACTCTATCCTCAGTGGTTTTGCTTCCTTGATTCTTGTGTTGATTTTTGCTATTCCATCTCTATTAAATCACAGGATGAAGAAAGCATGAACATGAAGGAGAAAGTCCGTGCAGAAATAACCAAATCGCTTAAGATTCTTGAACTCAAATGCAATAACATGGCAGCGTTGCTTCGAGGCTTAGGGATTACTGTTGGTGGTGGAACATCTCCTCCGCCAAATGAGGTTAGCCAATCTCATCTCTACATTTAGCTAATTTGTTTTTGACTTGCTTTTGTATAGTTTGTTAAAAATGTTAATCAATATTAGGTACACGCTGCATACAAACGGGCCGTACTGAAGTTTCATCCGGACAGAGCATCAAGAGGTGACATCAAACAGCAAGTAGAAGCCGAGGAAAAGTTCAAGCTTATAGCTCGCATGAAAGACAAATTTTTATCTTGACATTAACCAAAGACGATTATATTAAAGTCTTCTTTTTTGTTTTGTTTTTTAATCTCTTAGAAGGGATGATTCTCTATGTAAATCGGTTCTCAATTATCCAACAAAAAAACAAAATTGTTGAAGGTTTTTTGTAACACAAATGGAGAAAAAATACAAAACAAAAATGGTTTTGATCAATGTCTTCTCTTCCTGCCACTGCCTTTACCAAGTTGTCCAGATTTAGCTGCATGTTCTTGTTCTTGAAGGAAGGCCAAGTTTTTGCCATACTTCTCCTTTCTCTCCTGCTCTTGCTCAGCCTTTTCTTTAGCTTTAACCTCGCTGATGAAGTAGTTGTCCTTGCGCAGCTCACTTGCTGCTTTCTTAAAGTCGCTCTTCAACAACTTCTTCAGCTTCTTGTGCTCCGATCGGAACTTGTCTGGGTCGTAATCCCTGCCTTTAACATAGCTGCACAAACGAATAAACATACATCGTTATAGAGGTCATCTGTGTGTTGTATCTCTTTAAGTATTAACAGAGTGAACTGGATTTGAGCAGAGAGAAACTTACTTGGCTTCAAATTTGGGAGTGGACATTCTGATGCCGTCTGGCTTCTGCTTACGCAAAGTGAGTGGTCTGCGTTGCTTTTGATGCTCGCTGGTTTTCTCTTCGATTAGCTGCGCAACATCTTCAAACTTCTCCTTGATAGTTTCTGGCATCTTTTCTTGATTCCCAACTTGGTTTAATAAAGTTGAGAATGGCATGAAGATCTCTGGAAAAGAACTTAATCCTCCGCTTATCTCCACAAACCCCTTGAGAGTCTCCACTATGCTTGAGAGGATGCTTGCTCTGTTCAACCAAAAGCCAAAGAGTATCATTACACACTTCTACTGTTGATGTCTTCATAAGAAAATTGAATTTTCAGAAAGAGAAGAACAAACCTGAATTCATCAGAACTGAAATATGGAGAATCAGCTGGCTCATCCATTATCTTTAGGAAGTTTAGTGGCATGACCTCTTTGACCTCGTCTTGTATGCACAGCAATGGAGTCAGCGATTTCAACTCCATAAAATGATAAAACTGCAACACAGACGCACAACTGTTCATCAGCCAAGTAACAACATATGTGCATCTTGAGTTCTTAAATGCACAGTACAAAATCCAAATGTACCTCAGATTCTTCAGATGATGGTGACTTTTCGTCTGAAGCAGCCATGAGAAGAGTCCGGATAAATAGTATGGCTTCAGGACAGAACTTTTTAGATTGTTTAGCAACCTACAGTACATTTTTGTTTGCATGAGTAAAATGAAAACTGGAAAATAGCCAAAGGAAAAAAAAGGGTGGGGATCAACTTCTCATTACCAAGAGAACAATGGAGCATAAGAAGGAACCAATGGCAACATCACGACCAGAAGAGATGGGACAACGCATGAGATATTCACACATCAACAGTATCGACGGGGTCATCACAGCATGGCGATAGTCAGAGCACGGAAAGATCATGGACCAAAGCTTCAGGAGAAACACTGTCTTCAAGGAAGGCCAGCATCCATCCTCTGCAAGAATGTTTGTGTAACTGGTTAGGACGAAAAAGATGGAAGAGGCATGCTCAAGTCTATGAAAGCATCATCACATCACAAACCTGGATTCTTGATAGCCTCGCAAAATTGTGAACGGGTCTTTAGAAGTCTCTGGCGGGCACATATAGCAGCAAAGTAGGGAATCTCCATGCTCATCTCAATCAAAGGTTTGACAAGTAGATTTATTAGCTCGAAGTTCAAGGGCTTCTTGTTTGTAAGCACGGCAAAGTACTGCAAGAGGATACCATAGAAGACCTGGGATGCAGAGAACAATATAAAGATTCAGAATGCAAGCGAGGCATGAAAATGTGAGAGGATAATGTTAATCTTTGAGAGCATAACTAAAGATTACCTGCATTTTCTTCCGGTTTTCAGCTGCAAGCTTGATTGAATTTGAAGTCCGGATTCGGTTGATGATTATAAGAACATCTGAGTTGGAACAATCTTCAACTAGAGCAGTCAATTCCTCAAAACTCTTTGGAGCATCAATCACGAAAGGAATATCACGCTGTGATGAACTCAATTTCTTCAGATTGGTTTTTTGTTTCACAGCTTCAGGAGCAGCATTGTCCTTCTTTGACTTTTTAAGTACTCTTGGTTCTTCTTCTTCTTCTTCTTCTTCTTCTTCATCATCATCATCATCGTCAGTGTCATCTTCCAGCTCTGCCTCTAGCTCATCATCACTTTGTTCCCAATCCTTTAAAGAATGACTTTTTCTCTGCTTCTGATCATCCTCATCTGACTCCTCCTCCCCTTCCTCGTCATCTTCTTCTCCTTCACTTCCTGACTCCTCAGAAGAACCATCATCATCATCCTTCCTTTCAAGGACATCATTAATCCATCCCTTTTTCGGCACCTCTTCATCAACTGAGAAGTCATCACCAAGATCATCGCCGGAAATGGGCCTTAGCCTCTTTGATGATTCCTCACCATCACTTTCCTCATCCCCGTCGCTCAAATCCTCAGTTTCTTGCATCCTCTTCTTACGCTCCTCCTAAAAAATTTTACAAATTTGTATCAAGATAAACTACTGTCAACCATAAGACCTTTGACAACACACTCAAGACTGTAAAACAACAACGGATTTCAACAGAAACATACCTCAAGCTCCTCTAACTTCTCTCGCTCATTCTGAGCAATTTCTTCAGGCGTCTTTGTCCTCTCAGAAGGACGAGCACGAATGTCCATCGACATCATATCTACCTGCATTTTATATTTCTGATCCTCTGGATCCTGCAGAGAAAAGGGATTACGTCGAAATGGTAACACTCATAGCATAGAGACAGATTCTTAGTATGCAAACAACTACAAAATGTGATCATTTATTCACCTCAGGGAGGTCAAAGTCTTGAGTTAATCTCGCCATCGCATGAGAATTTTCCAAGGACTTGAAGTCTTTATCAAGCTCATCCATCAGCTTCGCCTTTTCTTCCGTCTTCTTAGCTTTCTCCATCTAGCAAAAATCACAAAAATAAAAAACAAATTTACACGCCATGCCAAAGAAAATGCCACAAAGGAAAAAACAACGGACTAATCATCACCTTGCCAAGTTTGCTCTTCATGATGATCTCTTCCATCACTTCTTTCTTACTCTTACGCCTCTGTAGAGATAATCCAAATAACATCAGCAATGCACTAATGTATCAACCATCACAGTAAAGTACACATAAACAATCAACGAGATCTCTTCTTACCTCTCCCTCTTCAGATGATTCATGCGTTCTGTTTTTGTTTAGATGCTTTAGTCCTATTACATAAAATGGTTAAACAATATTAGCTTCGTCCAAGATCATATAAAGTTGTTAAATTTCGATAAGCATTATCAAGAAGCCATACTCTTTGCTTCAGCAGCTTCAAGATCATCGTCTTGAAGATCTTCATCTGACAATGCTCCAGAATCATAATCATCCTTCAAAGAAGAACCACCAAGACCTCCATCTTCATAAATATCTTCCTCCCCATCAGACAAATTGTAAATGCTCTTCTTTGCTAATTTCATCTGCATAATCATAAGAGAAAAACAAAAACTTTCAGCTTCAATTCAATCCAATTGATAAAAAATTGAATTTTTGAGGTCACTGATTCTAAAGTTTCTGTTTTTAATTTGTTATCTCTTCAATTACTGACCTGACGCTCTCTCTGAGATCGGATTATACCCTTATCGAACTCTCCAAGGTCATCGTTCTGCTCTCCAATACGCTTATCGAGAAAAGTTGAAGACTTTAAGCTCTGTTCGTACTCTTTCAGCAGCGTTTCCTTCCTTTTGTCGACAGCGCGAGACCGTGAGAGACCCAAGCGGCGTTCTTCGCCTTTACGCTTCTTTCCGAGGACGTTGAACTTCCGGCGAGACCAGATTGATTCAAATGGATTGTCTACTTTCTGGGATTTGGCTTTCATGGCCACTGCATCTGGTCCCGTCTTCTTCATGCCTTTTTTGTCAGGCTTCTTCTTCGCTATGTTCTCTTTCCCCATGGTTTTTGCTCAGGCTGATGCTGCGTCGGCGGTGACGATGGTGGCTAGGGTTTTACGAGATTTCAAACAGGGTTTTGGGGGAGGTGGATCGGCCAGCTCAGACAGGGCTACTTAGATAAACTGTAGAAAGAAGAAGAAGAAGCGGGTGGGTCGGGTTTAGTTTGACCTATAAGCCCAATTATCATTTATTTGCCCATTTTCATTTTTCTAAGGCCCATTATACTTTCGTTTAGAAAATTATGAAACAATGGGTCTGGTTGTGGCTGTAGCTTTAATTTGGTTGGGGCTGTAGCTTTAATTTTTTTGCTGTAGAATTAATGCTGTAGAAATTTTGGCTGTGATTCTAGATTTTAGTGCTGTAAGATTTTTTATTATAGATTGTGTCATTAAATATAACATTAAAACAAAAAAGTTAAGATATAGAAATAATAGATTAAAAAATAAATGTTGAAAGATTATTAAAGAAAGAGAAGAGAGAGAATTCTAAGAGCACTTAATTTGGTGCTCTAGAAAAATTGCTTTCCAAAGCCACGGAACTTCCATAAATAAATAAAATTGCTCTGTGTTTCAAAAATGGAAAGAGATAAAATGAGAGCTTGATTGGTAATTTTGTATTGCTGTAGAGAGATTTAGGGTTGTGCAGAGCAACCACAACCCCTACCAATCATCCCCAATGATGATGACTCTGATACACTTTGTAAGTATGCGCATTTTTTTGTGACGCAGCTCCATAACCATGATTCAAGGTTACACAACTTACAAGAAGAATTAAAATTCTACAAAACAAATTTATATGTGAATAAAACAAATAGTAATGTTCAGGCGAGAAGCCAGAAATCTTTGTGACGCTTAGTTGTGAGAGTGTATCCACCAATTTTCTTGCCTCTCTTGCGAACCGCAATGGCCGGCCATACAAGGAGAGTTGTTAATGCAATACTCTACGACGTTGTGTTTGTTCATGGGTCGGGCCTGTGAGGTCCATATCATTAGTAGCCGCCACGTGGCGTGCTGTTTCTTCTGGCCTAGAACTAGCAAGGTTGCTCCACGTTCTCTTGCCTCTTTCACTATGGTCGGAGCTTTCTCGTCACCTTCCACAACCACCATCTCTGTCTTCAACTAATTCAGCAAAAATTATATATACTAACCTCTTTTTATTAAGAAATTAGAGCACGAAAAAGTGTTTTATTAAGCCAAGAAAATACATATTATGAAAATATGGTATATGAATATGAAGAGAAATTTTATGAACCTCGGGTCTTTTAAGCTCACAAATGGTTTTCAAGGCTGAATTTTTTATATAAGCTTTTGAGGTTTTATGTTTGTCACAAGGTTCTTCTTCTTTTGAAGCTAGAGCACCTAGAAACACAAATCATATGAAGAAAGCAATGATATAATTATATATATTGTTGGAAATTAGTATATGACGAAAGAGAAAACTGACCTGATTGAGAAATAGGTTTAGCTTTAAGAATATGGAGAAGAACAATGGAGTCTTGAGGCTGTGCACAATGGGAGAGAGTCCAAAGCAGAGCGTTCTTAGCCTCGGAGCAAGAATCAACCACAACCATTATTCTTCTTCCTAATTTGATATCTGTGGAGGAGCTTGGTGGCTCCTCGCTGCAGCCTTGGTGGCTCGTACTCGTCGGTGGCTGGACTCTTACGTGAGCCCTTATTCTGTTTAGAAAGAACCCATCTCTTTTCTTCCCCATTCTCTTCCACTCTCTTTCTCAAAGCAAGGAAAATATATAAGATGATGACATAAGAAGGCAGATAAAGTAAATGAAATTAATAATTTCTAAGTATGATCCTGCTTTTTCTAGCTAGCTCCTCACATTTTCATTAACATAATAAACCACATTTTTTTTCAGTTTAAGAATCGTTAATTGTGTACATTTTGTGTGTGGCACCGACATTGACAATGACATCCATATTTATAGAGTCATGTGAATTTTGTAATGACTAATTATGTGCACGAAATGATATTTAATCTACATTTTTTCGTTATCTTTCAGTTTACGTTTATGCATTCTAAAGCCGGTTATTAAACAACTTGTAGCGCTATACGAATCAAACAATAGCTTTATAATACCTAAACAGCGAGAAAGAGATAGTCAGATAGATATACATATTTTCTGCCAAAGCCCAACTTTTTCTACTTGTATCATTGTATGATACTTTTATTTTGCTTTGTGTTTCAATAATGATGTCTGAACTCTTTTGGTTTATTACAAGACATCAAGTGTTGGCACTTTTTCTTCAACATGCTTATCATCAAGCCGTAGGTCCCAACAATAATTCCTGCCAAGTGATTATTGTTATGTGATTAAAATACTAGAGCCATTTTGTGGGTAACGAGCTCAGTTTTTAGTTGTTGGGGTTTTGATAAAAAAAGTAAAACTGTTATTTTACATAAAAAAGATAAGAGCAGATTTGTAAACCGGAAACTGAAAAAATAAGTCAACATTCCAAAATCAGTCAAACTTCCTAAACTCTTTTGGTATTGCCACGTCATAAAATATCCCCACGTTTCCTTGTGCTGCTATCCAAAGAATCTTTACGTCGCTGCGATTACGGACCAAAGCTTCGAAGTCTGTTACTCTTTCTCAAGATTCATTGATTCTTTCTTCCTTCTGTTCTTTCAATCTCAGATCAGTCCAAGGTATTATTTATTAATCTTCTTTATGTTCCACTGTTCTCCCCCAAGTCCTGCCTTAATCTAAACCCACTATTCAAAACTCGTGATTAATTACCATAACATCTATACTTGACCATTAACCAAAACCTGTGTTTTTAATTATTGGTCATCTCCAGTAATTCAGATCAATGGGTATTTTCTGTTGCTGTCTTCGAGTTCCGAATCTCGGTGATGAATCTCGAAGCGTTCCCAGTATCAGAGCCTTCAGCTGCCCAATAGCCAATAACTTTCTCCCCAAGGTATCTCCACATTCTAAACCCTATTTTCCTTCCAAAAAATTGCAGAACTAATCAATAGCTAAACACATTGTTGATCCAGTACGAGCAACTATCTCGAGACCTCGAAAGAGGTGAAATTTCCTCTGTCGTGGAGGACGAAGAAGACGTTTGTCCGACATGTTTCTATGGTACTAAAAACAAAGAATATATAAAAACGTTTTATTTTAGAGATTTTTGTGTGTGTTAATTCAACACCTATTGGGATTGGAGACAGAGTACATTGAGGATAATCCGAAGATAGTTCTACAATGTGGACATATCTTTCACCTTTCCTGCATATATGAATGGATGGAGAGAAGTGAAGCTTGTCCCTTTTGTTCCAAGGTTTTTTTTTTTTGGTTTAATATACTTATGATGTACATATATGCGGTTTTGTCTATCTTTTTATGTTCTTTTTGTTTTGGGAAATTAACTTGGGGTTTGATTTATTTTGTGATTCGTGGCCACAGGCAATGCTTTTCTTGGATGGTGAAATTACAGAGGTGGTGGAGGAATGATAAGATACATCCTTATATTCTTGGTTGGCGTCTGAAAATTTTGGTCTTTTCACAATTCTTTTCCAATTTTGTCAAAGACTTCGATCAATGTTTTTTCTGGCTTCGTCCCCGATAATGATTTGTTACAACTGTGATATATATCCTATTATATGTAGTAAGTATACTTTAGAGCTTTGGGATGTGCTATGAGTTGGGTAGAAAACTCAACCTTTATCTCGAAGTCAATTTGACTTCCAAATCCATTGTATAAATATTTGTTTATCTAAATCAATAAAAAAGGTTTCTTCCTCCGTTCAAAATATCCGCAAGAAGTGACAAAAGACAGCCGGTAAATCATAAATTGGGAGAGAACCTTAGTGATACGGTAAAATAAGTGTCAAAACGGTTAACTGTGGTTTGACCGCGAAATTCCAATAACCGTCCGAGAAATTGTAAAATCGTTTGGGCTAGACTTTTTGAATTTGATATTGAGGCCTATATTTTTAGAAATTGAGCCCACATTATCTATTACCATCTTTTATATATCTTTTGTATGTTTTAATATGATCAAGATAATATCTCTTTTGTAATATTTGTGAGTGGAACTATTATCTTTTGTATTAGAAATGTTTGTAAATTGGGAAAAATCAAAAAATTTAAGAGATGTGTATTATTTTTTGTATTAGTAATGTTTTATATAATTATAATATTTAAAATAAACCTAAAATTTCGTCTCGGTTAATCCTCGAATTATTAGTTTATCGCTGCCCTACCAAACCGTAAGCGAGAAATGAGATTTTAAAACGTAGGTTTCTTCTATATATAGTTTTATTTATTCATAGTATTATTATTTCCTTTTTTTATAAAAAGGTATTTCTATAGCTGTCTATTCATAGTATCAAAGCCAAAATCTTGAAACCCCACAAAATCTCCTTTGCTTTTTTAAAGCTCAAGAAGAGTCTTTAATCTCCAACCAAAGTAAAATGTGAGGAAGGATGTAAGAAACTTAACGTCTTGTAATTCTTGTATTCTTTTATCAGATAATTCTGGTGCTATAATCATTTATAATATATGTAAGGAAGATGGTGTTCTTGAATAGGCAACAGAGATGCTTACCATTTTTCAAGCTAAGAAAAAACCAGCTCTTATCCATGGGACGTTGACAAACTGATGAAAAGAAAAGCAGTTAATTTGGAATAATGTTCAACCGTGAAGTTCATGGTTGTGGCATGCTTATGGACATTGGCAAGGCAATCAAGATATCACCGCACATGCGACAAGTTCACACTCATGTGATTTTGCTTATGGAGAAAACCCGTTTTCTACAACCAACCATGAGCATAATGCAAAACTAAAATGGCTTGAAAAAGGTCCGATCAATTTAATTTTCACATTCATTCTCTCCGACCTTAAAATATAATACAAGTTTTGCCCCCATACATACTGAAGCAAAAAACTTAAGAAAATTACAATGAGAAAGGAGGCTCGCTAATTTATATAACATGATATAGTTAAGAACATGTAACTTGGATGAAAAGGGGCTAGCCACTATTTCTATATATGTGGCTAATCGTTTTTTATTATTGATGATTTTAAGTATATGGAATTGCTTCATGCGGCGAAGCAGCCAAGGTTGCAGTTGTAAACAGGCTCAAGAGACAGATCGAGATCGTTCCTCCTCATTGCCATTGGATCTTCTTCTTGATATAGACCACTACATTCACCATTTACACACATGATATAAATTGCTTAATAACACATATCTAAGTGCATTAAGAATATTCATATGTTTCATTCTAATGACAAGTTCAGTTATCTCACAAACTCAAATTTTACTTTAAAACACAATAAACTAAAAACAACAAAAATCGAGCTGATCACAATGGTTTCTTAGGCTTTTCACAACCATTCCATCTACTTTTTCCAAGCTAAATAAGTCTGTTCGTTTGGCGACAATTGCATTAACCTACGTTAATAAATGAATTCTTAATTAGTGTATATTTATTAGTTCACAACCTAAACTTCTAACAATCACTAACACAGAACCTAACTCCATCGGAACTACACCCTAACTAGCTTATATAACATTAACATATGTGGTTAAATTTTAGTTACCCCATGTTGAGAAAAGGAGATGGCTGATGAGAGAGCATGTAAGGATGCTGCATTTGATGTTGCTGCTGCTGCTGCGGCGGAGGAGGCGGCATATTGTGACCATGGTTCTGCTGGTCCCACTGCTCTTGTTGTGCCCTTAGAATCTTTTCCCTCTCCTTGATCTGCCATTGTCAAGTTTCACGTACCAATTTATTCATACTATATCAGCAGCATCACCAACTTTCATGACAGAAATAAAAAGTTATATAGCCCCATTAATATGTTATTTCATTGTTCCCTATAGATGACCTAAGTAGAGTGAGATGAGACTGACGTTTTCAAGTTCAAATATTTTTGATTCGAGAGACAACCTTAAAACTAAACGGACAAAACCCATCTACGTCCTGATGATTATATCAATCAATAGACCATATCTATGCTATTGAAAAATTATTTATTTTTATTTTTAGTTGGTGCCAAGTTAAGTGGAGATATGAAGATCTAGCTAGGCTTGAAGTGTGGAGTAGAACAGTGGAACGTAACAGTGTAATGCCATGGAAAACATGATGATGAGAGATAAATAATGACGCGTGTCACCTGTTTGGAAAGCATGCTGTTCTGCTCTTGTATGGCCTTCTCCTGTTAATTCCAAAACGGCACGACTGTTAGCTACCATGTACGTTTCTTACACGCAGTTTCTTTAAGTATATAGACATTTGATAGGGTTTTTACATACCTTTCTTTGGAGCTCATTGATGGACTCGTACATAAGTTGGTTCTGCATAAACACATCACGTTAACGTACCACTATACTTTTAATAATATATGTACTTCTTATACTCTTGACTTTTAGTAATGTGGGTCTTCTATATGGGCGAATATAGAAATAATTTTTACGAGGAGACAGATTTTATATATGATGGGGAAAAAAATATCAACGGGGACATAATAAAAATTCTTTAATCATCACACTAGTTTTAGCAAGATCATGGTGACAAATGCCCATCTTAATTCTTAAACAACGTGCATCTGCCACACAACATAATTCATAAAATTGAAACCAACCTATATTCATACTTATATATCTACACGTTATTACACGTTATTGATTAACAATAATTTTTTTTTCCAAAACTATTAAGATATGGATATAATATACACACATATGTATTCGAAAATTCAAATAATAACAGTTGTATACGTTTAAGTTATAAATATGTTCAAGAAGTAGGAGGATTTATACTTTTCTAGAGCGGATGTGCTTAAGAGCAGTATCAAGCTGCTGCTCCAGATTCTGGAGCTCCTTAGAGCTCATTGCTTGCAAGTCTTCTCCAAGATAATGCCTGAAATTTCAGTAGGATATTTTCCTTTTCATGACTGCTCACAATTTCTTATTTCATATGAGTATATATTATAGATGATGAGAGTAAATGTGTACCTTTGGTTTCTCTCCAAAAGCTCAATCTTAGCCTTAAGCCTGTTATACTCCATGGACCAGTTCGTCTGTATCTCACAAGTTTTATATACATATATAATTCAGCAAGATTAGATAGTTAATTATAATATATGTAAATTAAAAAGGAGAGAGATTGATTTACATTGACGTCGGACTCAGGTGCAATAAGCTGTCTCTCGGCGTAAGAGTACCTCTCATACCGCTCAAGTATCTTCTCCATACTGTTTCATTCACAAATTAGGGCTAACTTTATATTATCAGCCAGTAATTAAGTTAAAAATATAACCATAATATATTTTTACATACATACATAGAGTTACATCCATCTTACGTACATACATAGGTAAAACAAGCAAAATTAGCAAATCTTATACGATATAGATTTGGATAAGTTCGTGTTTTCATGACATTTGAGTGTAAATCTAGTTATTTAGGTATCAAAGACGCGTTTATGCCTTACACCAAAATTTCCTATGATCAAATCATGTACTGGTTTGGTTTTTATAACTGCTCTATGACAAAACAGTATGAATCATTAGCCCTAAACATTTTAGCTTCGGGTTCTAACTGTGGTTTCTTAAAATTTGATATAATCAGGTACAAGGAAATCTTGTTAAAATCGCCACATTATTATAAAATACTATAATGTGGTCAAATCACCAATTTTATAGTTTATTTTTTTCCAGAATTACTGATAATACTTTTTAAAAGAAAGAAGAACAGCTGTTGCCTGCTGAAGCTAAGTTTGACCATCGGTAAGAAGCCGATCTTAGGATTAAGTTAGATCTTTTCATGGATCCCCAGAGGTCAAAGACTCCCTATTCAGATTTGACATTCTTTCCAGATTTGAGACTAATAAAATTAATTTTTAAAAGGAACACATTTTTTTAATACTATTTTAAATTTTCTGAAGTTCATAGTCTAAAGAGCTGAGTGAACTTAAAACATATTTTTCTTAGATTTTCAGAATTTTAAAAGACGTAGTTGGGATGACAAAAGATTAATGAAGAGTTTAGGGCTCAAAAATCCATAGCTCGGAGATTTAACTATCATCCTTCTATTTATTCTCAATTTGAAATCCTTAACTCAAGTTATCCTTTTTCTTTCATCACATATTTTCGGTTTATCTTAAACTTTAGTACTCTAACTGTAATTTCAAAAGAAGAAGAAGCAACATACCAAAAAGATAGTAAGCCCTTGTTCATAAAAAAAAAAAAAAAAAAAAAAAAAGACATACCCATAAGAAATAGTGATGTAAATTTGTGAGTTCATAGTCCTTAACTAGAGCCGATTGAAATTAAACATTTTCTTTTCCATCTAAGGTATTAATTCAAAATTAGATTCGCAAAATTTTGTAAGACAGTTAGGAGAACAAAACATATATTCAGCATGAGTTAGGGATTAAAAAAAAACCCTAGCTCAGAAATTAAACATTCATCTTTCAGTATGCTGTGTACTCATATATATTGTATAATTAGTGTTCTTAGGGTTCACTTCACTCCAGGTCACAAAGTTTTTGATTTTTCAATTAATAAACAAATCAAGTAATAAACATTTGTCGCTCAGTAATTAACAGATTCAGCAAAGATATCTACCTAATTATAATCCAGATCAGAAGGAAACCCTAGAAATTACCTAAATAAGAGTAGTAGTTACTAATTAGGGCAAAACAGATAGTCAACTAAAGAGGAAAGGAAAGATAAATCAAGTAATTAAAGATCTTTTAAAGAAAATAATAAAAAGGGGGAAATTACCAAGAATCAGTGGAGTATTCAAAGAGTTTCCCCTTATGGGAGAAGACAACAAGGGCAACTTCAGCATCACAAAGAACAGAGATCTCATGAGCTTTCTTCAAAAGACCAGCTCTTCTTTTCGAGAATGTCACCTGTCTATTGATCTTGTTCTCTATCCTCTTCAATTGAACCCTACCCCTTCCCATTTTGATCCCTTTTTAAGAAACTATTTTTCACTAAAAGAACCAAACAAAACAAGGAAACTACAAGAGAGAGATAAAGAAGAGCTCAGGCTTTGGTATGATCCAATTAGGAAAGTTTTTCCTTTCTTTCCTTTATAATAAGACTGTGTTTGAGTCTCGGGATCTTTCTTTCACTCTTTATTTATGGAGAGATTTGGGTAAGAGCGGTTTAGGGAAACGCTAAAGCTGGTTTTTTCCCGTTTACAAAAACCAGAGTGGTTTTGTTAAGGATTTGTTGTCGACATTTCATTGGTGTATTTGTACTAGTGTTGGGTCCAAGAGTTCTCATAAATTATTTCGGACTAAAATAAAATTTGATTATCGACGTCTCGTGAAGAGAGAAGTAACATTGTACGGACTGCTGGACCCTCCACAAGTGTCACCTTCGCTTTGCATTGACGGCGGAGATTTCCCTGTAGATCTACGGAACAAAATCTGGACCAACCAAAAATATATAACACAGTTTCCTTTTATCAAAATGTATTTTTATACTATTCTCTTGGAATAAAGTGAGAACCCTTTGGTTTATTGAATTTATTTATATTTAATGTTCAGCGGTAACAGTGAAGTACAAATAGACCTTTTTTTTTGGCAATAGATGTTTTTGGTAGAGTTGAGAAACAATTGCCAATTGTGTAATGTATTGAGTCGACAGATTTATACGCAGGATTTACGGGAAGAGTGGACGACGATTAATAGTTTCAATTTTCAAACCAAAAATAAAATGTACTTTGTAAAGCGTTTGTGTAGTTGTAATGTGTACAGTCTAGTTATAATTAATCTGTAGAGATCTGAATATATATGTACTCTGTTGTTAATCATACAGGTTCGTACAACAAATCCGAATTTATAACTCAAGTTTCTTCCTCAAATGTTGTTATCTTCTTCATTTTTGTAACAAATATTGAAACCCTCTCCTTTTGTAAAGCTTCTAAAATTATCTTTTTTTGAAAGTGGTGACCAACGTTTCGAATGTGATTTTTTTTTTTTTAGAATTTCAATTTAAATTTCTGAACCTCTTTAGGTATTCTTTAATGTTATTGACAAAGAAAAACAAGATTTCAGTTGTTCCAAACATATGCATGAGAAACCTGTAAGAAAAAAAATGAATTAAAAGGTAACTTAGTTGACAGAAAAAAACAATTAAATAAATTAAGAATGAAGCAAGACTTAAATCTGTATGTTTTAATATTAGGCCGGCCTCTGATGTATTATGATTGGCCCTACTTGCAAAATAACATGCAAATTCGAAAAGGATAACTAAAATCAATTAAAATCCAAACCATTTTTAGTAGTATAGTATCTAATCGAACTATTTAGAATTCATATTTTATGTTCTTTATGTAGCAGATATATTAAATCTGGTATGCTATGACCTTATATACCGAAATGATCTTAGTTATATAACCAAATTTAAACATGTACGTCTTGACATTTGAAATGATACACGAGTTATAAGGTATAAGAGTGTGTAAAGAACACGTTTGAAGGTAATATACTATATTTATGTATGATGTGTGTATGGAGATCATGAGCAAAAGTAGTAAGCAAAAAAAGAAAAAGTAGAAACATAACAAATTGAGCAAAACTAAAAGAATCTAAGCTCGTGGCCTTAAAGACTACAACCCAATAATATCCATTATCTTCGCCTCTGTTACATCTCCACCCTTCTTTTCTCCCATTAAATATCTCTTTTTACTCTCCTTCAGTTTATCGTACCACATTGTATACAATATCTCCACTGAACTGTATCTTTTATTCCAAATTCTGTGAAATAGTTGGTTATCATTGAAAGAAGGTAATATCTATTTATCATTCGAAGTGGTTGTGGAAGATAAAAACACATAAAAGCCTAGCAGTTCTAGTTTTGAAGAAGATACCAATAATTAACTTTGATCTTTTATTCACGAGAGTTATGAGGTTGCTTTGTATCACGGTGACGCAGGGGTTTTAATGGATTTCAACCAATGGCTACTCGGCGAAGCGTAGGAACTTTTCATTCATGTTAAGTTATGATGAATTTTGAAATTGATTTAATTTTAAGTAAGCTTACTAATTTAAATTAAATCTTTAACATATGGGTCTTAAACTCAACAGTTGTCTACAGTTAGAACTTAGAACTGTAGTACACGGCGAATAGTGAAGTTTTTATTGAACAGTGATTTTTTGTCAAGGTCTACCAATTTGCAAACGGTAGTAAAATAGTCTAGACTTGAGTCGAAAAATCAAATGTAACAAACAAAATGTTAATTGTTTTTAGATTTTTCACAAGTCTGAGTTTATTAATGTTAGAAGAGCAGATTAAAATCTCAATCTCCATTATTTAAAATAATACAGATTGCTTGCTGTGGAACATTATACTGTATACAGTTAACTCAATTATGTAAAACACGGACAAGGATCATATGATGAGGGAGGATGATGACGTGGCAAATCAATTCTGAAGAAGAAATGAATGAAGAGCAAAGTTGTCTTAGTTAGGTCTCCATCAAAGAGCAAGTTGGGTCCAATCCAGCCACATCAAATGTCCAATTAATGTACACATCATTAGCTTTTAGCCCCACCATTCTATATACACAATCATATACATGTATAGCTTTTAAAAAATTCTCAAATCTTCATTTTTATAAATATCATAAGTTTTTTTTTTTTTTTACCAAAGGCTTGTATATATCATAAGTTAAACGTTTTTTTGTGGGGAGCTTAAATCATAAACTATATCAGTTTTGTAAAACAAATTAATATTATGACATAAAAAACTATGGAACTTGTATAAGTTACACTTTTCGAAATCTTTTACAAGTTTTTACTAAAACAAAATTTTGACGGGAAAAACAAAATATGTATATAGTATTGTTCAATCGCATATCAAATTACACATAACAGAAGTACAAATGAATATGATGTATACGCAGCAGCTAGCATCTATGTTGATGCTATCTTCTAACCACCACGTTCAATATATATATCATTCGTGTTGCACCACAAAACCTCTATATTTCATTTTCATAACTCTCTCTCTCTTTGCATTCATACATATATAGCTGATGAAAAATATATACTACTAACTTGAAATGAAGCAAACGATATCTCACATCTGTTAGGTAACACAAAAATATTCAGTTATTTAAAATTTCTCAACGTTACATGAAAAAATGTTACTATTTCATCTCCAGGTCCGTGAGCTTTATTTGGATTAAAGAGGTTTTAGATAATTTTGATATAAGCCCCAAACTGTCTGTGAAAGCCCAAGATCACGATTTAAGCCTGGAGTTATGATATAAAACCTAGATTTGCAGTATAAATAAAGAATAAATAGATCATTGTTTAAAGGCCTATTAGCTCAGTTGGTTAGAGCGTCGTGCTAATAACGCGAAGGTCACAGGTTCGATCCCTGTATAGGCCATTTTTTCCAACATCGACGTCTTATTTTCTCTCATTGACGCTTCACGCTTTTATTAATTTTTAATTTTTAATTTTTTAAATATAAACTAAATAGCTATCATTATGTCTATAGAGCTCTGAATTAGGGAATAGTAAATTTTCAAGAGACTAGGGATAGTAACAATAAAGGTTGCTAAGCCGTGAAAGTAACCTTTTGCTAAAAGAGTAAAAACACACTGTAGTTTCTTCTCTTTTTTTTCACCCAAATACTGTAGTTTCTTCTAAAACATATATGAATTTACACAAAAAGGGATGTGAGAAGAAATAAGAGACATGTGGAAAACTAAAGGCAGTGCGTGAAAATGGGATCTTTGTGTTTGCCAACAAAAAATCAAAGAGGCAAAGCCAATCTGATAACGAGTTAAAAAAAAAAAAAAAAAAAAAAAAAAAAAAATCTGATAACGAGTTCAAAACCACTCGTTTCATATCTTTTGTGATTGATTTACACACTTATCTTATCCTCTTCAATACTATGTCTCTTTTGGCTTCTCAACATCACATGGGCTATTATATCCATCTCTTTAATGATAGTATATGGTAACAAACTAAAATATGGAAATTCCTTATTATAAATATTTTTCAAAATACATGTGTGAATTGTGATGTATGAGAGAGTTCTTGTGACTTTTGAGAGGGTGAGAAATGGTGGTCAGTCTTTTAAGCCCACCACACTGTGTGTTGTCTCATAAAAGTAGGGCATTGTTAAATTCGAAGAGTTGTTATTTGTGGGACCAAACATTTGAGCCCATTGTGACTAAAATACGATAAACTTATTGGGCTGCATGGGTCCAATTATAATTTATCGTGTTCGACCGACGACTGTTCTAGTCGTTACTTAATTGTTTTTCAATTGGAGTGGATGGATAATATCCAGAGGAAGAAGTTGAAGGAAGACATGGGAAGTGTTTGACAGAAAGAGATGGGACTAGTGAGAGAAGTATAGCCATAAGAGGCAACTTTAAGATTGCTGAGGCTCACAACAAAAGATAGCTACCTTACACTTTTCTCTATTTTGTTTTCTTCACCAATCACCACTACTTCCTCCAAATTTTAGATATTGACTTGACAATCATAGTGTTTCAGGTGGCCGAATCGTTTATTTTAATACAAATAATCGTGTATATACAACATACATACATTTACGATCATTACGGTTTATTAATAGTGATGATTAGAATTATGATCATGTGTGTATGAGAGAGAGAGAGAAAGAGTGCATGTGTCATGTGTGTATGTGATTATAAAAGATATGTTTATCAAATGCATCGTCCAAGAAAGTTAGTATATTGTTTTAAACAACTTTAACCATATCTACTCATTTTCATTTTCGACAAAATATTGAAGAAATTCATATTAAACATCAATATACTACCACAGAATATACACGCTTTCAATGAGCTTTCACCAATATACTACTCAACAACACTGAAATACTTAAACACTTGGATGCATTAACAGAAATCCGGAATTGTTTCGTTGATTAATATGATATTACATATTAATGATTGGTTAGGTGTGATGATGGAAATGGTGATGTAAGTGTCAATTACAAAACCAGGGGGCTTAACGCATCCTTTTCAACTCGTACGCCACAAGACAAAACTCTTCTCTAGTTATGTCTTTGTTGTTGATTGTTGTACAAACCAAAATCATGTCACGTGTCATCTCCCTTGGCTTGTCTCCGCACGTGTGGGCTCGGATCTCTTGTTAACCACTACTTACTATTCGTGTCATGTCTATGTTTTGCCTTTGTGAACCATTTAATATAGAGTAAATTATATGGAATCCATACAACGTGACGCTGCCTCCTCTCACAAGCCCCCGACTTTTCTTCTTTGTATTTCTCTTTTTTTTTTTTTTTTTTTTGAGTAATATTACTAAACTTGATTTCACTTATGTAACTAGGGTTTCTCTATATGCATGTTGAAAAGTCAAATCTATGTTTGATTCAGTTCAATTTGAATAAAGAGATGCAACCAGTTTCATGAACTTATTATATCTAGATTTCTAAAATGACTTTTAATCAAATTTCTGATTTTCTTCGGGCTAATCTTGTCACACGTAATTTTTTATTCCTTTGTTCATAAATTTGTTTGTTCTTTTTTTTGGGTTAGTATTTGTTCATGATTTAATAACACTTTAACACATTAAAGTGGATTTCAAATTCTGGTTTTTTAAGACTAATTATACCAAAATTTGTAAGTCATGGAAATGGTAGACCGGTCGGGGTAACATTAAAAAATTCTGATGAATTTCTGAAATGCAGCCATATGTAAGATCACCATATTTACAGCGTGTTACAGCACAAATTTTCATAAAATAAACATACATTTAATTAATGTTGTAATTCATATATAGCCTTAGGCAAATAATATACATACAAACTTAATGGAGTCATGGTCTGTGTGTGGATTGATATACATACTAACATAAGCATATAAGTTTTCAAAAACCAAGGACACAATTGAATTTCAAAAAGAAAAGAAGAAGCTCAAAGTTGGGAATCCAAGGCAACATGGAGAAGATAGCCCCCACATTATCATCAATACAATCAATTAATTTCCTACACCTTATCAGAAAAGCTCATAAAACCAAACGAGCCCACCTTCTCCTTCAATTAAGTTCTTCACCCACGCATTTAGTGGGTCACACAAACCCTTATGACTTATGTCCCTCCAAATTTCTAATTTTCCCAGCATTCAAAACATTTAATTACAACCATCTATATCCAAAATATATAAAACCATCGTAATCCACTAATATTAACGTATGAGTATTGCATGATACGTTCACGACTCGTATATTAATGTTAATGTATATTCACATACTATGAGTTTACTATCACCTTATTTAATTACGAAGGAGTTACATATCACATCACTTGTTATATAAACCTAAACACCTTATTTCACTCTATCATTTCCTATCAACTTGTTCCTCTTTTCCGCAAATCTAGCATAGAAAGAGACTCCTGATTTCATCAAAGTATTTGATCTTCAAACAATGTCCATGAAAGGGATCTCAGCAGTAGAACCAGATAAGCTCTCTAAGAGAATATCTTCCCACAAGGACAATGATGCTCATTCCGGCGAGCTTGACGTGTTTGAGGCCGCCGTGTACTTCTCCGGCTACAACGAATCCTTATCCGGCGACCATAGACACACACAAAAGTATGGCTACAACGCGGCGAGAGAGGAGAATCGGAGGAAATGGGGAATATTAGGAGGAGGGAGAAGAATCAGCTTGGACTTGCCGATTCGATGTTCAGAGCAAGTGCATCATCTTCACCAAGATCATCTTGAGAAGCAAGAAGTTACAACAACGAAGAGGATTGGTAACGTGAGACACAAGCAACCAAGCTCACCAGGTGGGAAAATCGCTAGCTTCTTGAACTCTCTCTTCCATCAAGCGAGTTCAAAGAAGAACAAGTCAAAGTCAAAGCCAGCGGATCAAGAAGTCGTCGAAGATGAGATCCCCGGAGGAGGATGGATGAGAAGGAGGAGAAGAAGCAGTATGAGCCATTTCTTGGGCTCAAGCAGATCTAATTCAACCACCACAACGACATCATCCTCATCAAAATCTCTGATTTCTTCATCAAGCTCGGGTTTTAGAACGCCTCCTCCTTACTTAAACACTCCCACCAAGAACTACAAGCAGTTCTTGAATTACACTTCTGCCACAAACCAAGTGAAAGTACTAGAGGAAAAGAAGACCATAAAAGAGTTGTCTTGGCTGGATGATAAACTCAAGGTGATGGAGAGTCTCTCGGAGAAAGAGAAGATTTGGGATAATGATAATGATGATGATGATCAGAGAATAAAGAGAGAGGGAGATGATGATGATGATGGAATGGAGAGTGATTCAAGTTCTGATCTATTCGAGTTACAAAACTATGAGTTGTCTCGTGGAGGCTTGCCAGTTTACGAGACTACCAATGTAGCTAACATCAACAACACTCATGTATGATCTCTGGCTCTGAGTGTCATCACAAATTGTCTTTTCCGATTTGTTCTTGTCTCTTTATTTTGCAGTTACATGTAATTCGTTTGGATATCCGGGATTTGATTGTGGAAACTTCAATGTTTTTTTTTTTTTTTTTTTGGGTATGAGATTTGAGGGTAGATTGATACATACCTAGTTTTCTTGTCCCTCACATGGATTTTTGATTCCATCTCTTTACGTATTTTCCTTGTATAATAAAAGTTGTACAACGTTGTTAATATTTGAAATATCAGATTACGTGATAATCCATTTTTAGTTAAGTAATTAAGTAGATACTAGAGAAATTCGGTGAAGCAATTTGTCAGTACTTAGCTAGATCAACAAAGGAAGAATTTAGCAATGCTACATTGCTACTACTGACCATATCGTTGAATGAGAACCACAGAAATTACAAGGGACAAATAGATAAAGTTAAATCGGCCGGTTAAGTTTGGCTGGTTAGTTATAAGTCTTTTTTGTCGTCTGTTATGAGTCTCTTACAACTTATGACGCCACTAGTTCTCAACTTAATCATTTATCTATATACTCTATAGATCGCATGAAAAGAAAAAAAAAAAGAGAAACAAACAGAAAAAAGTTGGGGACCAACAACGATATCCACTCGTATGCTCAATTGTTCATGCATAAACATTTACTATAATAACCAATGCCTTAATTCAGTATGCCTAGAGGTTTTTGTCCTGTCACGAGTTATGTCATAGTCTCATAGACTCCTAGAGCTTCGATTGATTATCTATCAAAGATATGACAAAGTCTAATTAATGTTTTTGTCGAAGATTGATTTAACCTTAAAAAGATTAGCAATATTGCTTTAGATAAATGTATTCACAAATTAATCGAGGACAAAAGATATATCCAAAAGCTTTTCGCAAAAAAAAAAAGAGACCCAAAAGCTTTTGCCATGCATAGATTGCGCTTGCTTTTGGAATTTCGTATTTTGATATAATTATTAATGCATGCATAAGGCATACGCACTAGTATATAGCCTTTTAAGGATGATTATGATGTGTTGGTCGTTGGATAAATATCCGATTTAAACTCTTTCTGAATGTGACTAAAATTCATTTTAAGTTTTTTTTTTTTTTTTTTTTTTTTTTTGTGTGTGTGTGTGTGTGTGTGTAAAAGAAATTCATTTTAAGTTGTGTTGTTCATTAGAAATCTTCGTTACTGGTTTTGAGTAACAATAACACGCGAGATGTGTTTCTTACTTGTTAGTATTTTTAAACGTTCTAGGTAATTAATAAACAAACCAAATCAAGAAGATAGGAGGATCAAATGTATTACGTAATCTCATGCCGACTGGCAAAAAAAAAAAGACAAAAAAATTCATGGATCTAGAGACAATGATACATGTCACCAATATAAACAAAAAGTCGAGTATATGGAATTAATAAGTAATACTTAGCTTTCTCCTCTCATCTATAGTGGGTGGAGGGTCCAAACATGTGATCAGGGCTGTCTCCGAGATTATGGAGGCCGCAAGCCCAAAATCAATATGGGTCGAATTTTTAAAAAAAAAAAAAAAACTAAAAGTATTCAAGGGGAATCAAATCCACACTGCTAAATTCATTTAAGAATGACGATTACAGTAGGCTATGAAAGGTTTTTGTCTAAATTAGGACTGAAAATATACTTATTTGTATCTGGGCTGCAAACAGCTGCTTGCCTTGCTTGCTCCCAAGGACGGCTCTGCATGTGATTATCATAAAGTTGAGGTAATTATTCAAAATAAAATCGTATGATAATGAACCTTGCAAATAAAGACACTCACGAATGGTGATCAGTTTGTAGTTTTTTTTGTTGCTGTTTAGAACTAACGATTTATACGTTATATATATACAAACTTTTAAATTTCAGTGTAATTGGCTCCCGCCAATATCACTAAATTCAAATATGATCCGGTTGATCAAGTATTAAAAGTTAGAACAATTTTATCGTCGATTTTTCATAAATCAGTCATTCAGTTGGCTTTAACAAAATTTGGTTTTCAAATTGATTCAGTTTTATAATTATGTCTATATAGTTAGTGATGTCATTATAAACAGAAAAAAGTCTGGTATTTGATCTAAAATGTAAAGTTTAAACACCTAGACTTTCCATCGTTCTCAAATATTATGAAAAATCATTACTAATCTTTTTGGTGCACTCTGCACAGTGACTGTGATACTTGTAGGAGTGAGCTAGTAGTCTTTAATCACCATTATTGTTTTAAAAACTTTCGTGAAAAATGGAACTATTAGCGTTGGACAGGTCTGTTTGGCCCGTAGTTAATGGGCTTGAAAGAGGCCTTAATTATGCAACGTAATTTGATGGACTTAGTTTGGTAAATTAGAACCTGGGCCGAATTAATACTGACAATATTTGTGATCAAACACATATTTTCAGTTTTAATTTGTACCTTGAGTTTTTGACCTGAAAACATTATTTACAATTTTACGTAATGATCTCTGAGAAACATTTGAATCATACAATTTCTATATATTATATTCTTTTCTGTCACAAATACGCGAACTTATAACTAATAATACATCAGAAATGTAAATAGCTAGTAAGAAACAAGAGAAGGGAAAAGAACAAAACAAAAAAGTAACTGGGACTTGGCTTAGCTTCCATCACCTGAAAAAGTGCGGTTGGTTGGCCAACAAGGTGTGCTCTGGCTCCCACCAAAAAAATAAAGTGTTGATTTTTAAGAAAATAAAAGAAAAAGAAAAAGGGTTGATTTTGTAAATAAAGCTAAAGTTTTGTGAAATTTCTGACGTTTGCACACACAAGCTCTCCACCACCACCAAATGGTCCAAATCTATTCAACTTGTTGCCGATTCTTTAATATTTATTCTTTGTTTGCACCCTTAAGTTTCTTTTTCTTTTATGGAAACCCCATATAAATTCTCCTCCTAACTTATGCTTTATTTTATTTTTTTTGACAAAGATTATGCTTTAATTTGGAAATATATTTTCTTGGAAACGAAAAAAAATTGCTTTCAAGTTATTACTACTATAAAGTAAGCTTTTCGTAGGTTGACTTTTATTTATCCTTAGACCAAAGCTACCAACAAACCAAATAATTATCCAGAAACAGCGTTTGTCAATTAGAATATACAACCCATAATTTAAAAAACTATGGCTTTGTGGGGTAGTGACGATGTTGATTGTGACAGACTTATGGTGTTGATTGTAGTGGACAGACTTATGTCATCGCTCAAGTGTATGTGTTCGGGATGGTGTGATATTATGTTCAATACATGAATGCCAATGCCACAAATCCACAATACATATAACTTTATATATATAAGACTTCCATGGCATTATGTTATTCTTGAGGGTTTTGTGCAAAAAACCCATTAAACTAAATTAATTTTGCAAATCAAACCCTCACTTATTTTTTGTGCAAGTCAATCATATTAACTTCAAAGTCACCCGCTACATAGTCATTCTCTATATTGATTTCATTGAATTCAAAACAACATGCTGTTTTACTAAATCGAAATGGCACACAGTTCATAATTCCGGCCGGTTAACAATTGGTTAAAATTGATTCAAAATTTCAAAATCAATTTTCGGTTTAATTTTAGTGAATCAGCTAAACCAATAAACTATTTTCCACGATTTATTCTCCCAGTTTAAAGATCTGTACTCCTTATTTTTCTTAATCTAACACTAATTCACTTAAGAATTCAAAACACAAAACCAGAATCTTCACTAACTTAAAGAAACTCTGTGGTGCATTTGGTTTACAGATCCATCGGCTTCCAGTACACCATTTCCTTTGCATCTCACCCCACCAATATATCGGCTCCACCTCCGGTCACGCCACCTTCTTCTCTGCTGCAAACACGCCATCGGTAACAACCTCATCATTATCACTACCATTCTCTTCAACTCTTCAAGATCCGCAGAATCGCTCTGATCCGTATTAAATATCTCGAAAATTGATTCGTAGAGTTTCATCAGCTTCTCGGAGAAGCCTTCTCACCGACGCCGAAGTTTGAATCCAACATTCTCATCAATTAGAATCCGCTATCGACTTTAACTCGATTGGGTTGGCACAAATCAATTTGGGAAAATAGGGTTCTTAAATCCACTTTGGTTTGATTGATTTGTACTGAATTGTGGGCATATGGTTTTTCGGAATCAACTGTTAACCAATGGAAGACTTGCTCAAAGCATTAACATTGGGGAAGGCGATACACGGAAACTTTCTAAAAAAATTGACTGGATTCTTATTATTTATGCTATAATCAAATGTGTAGAGTTGGAAGAGAAACAAAATATCAATTTAATCCATAAATTGTTGCCTTTTTTCTTAATTGATGAAGAAGATGAGCCAGGGATCTGGTTTTCTCAATCGAAGGAAAAGAGAGTGACGAAGAAAAAGAAATGTATTTTCTGTTTTTTAATATAATTTTTTGTTTTTATATTTTAAATAATAAAATATCAACAGTTGAAACATCATGTTGTTTTTATAGGTTTGAAATGTTATGTTTTTGATTTTTTCTTTGTTGCCACGTCATGGATATAGGGATGGCTATATAACGGGTGACTTTGAAGTGGATAGGATTGACTTGCACAAAAAATAAGTGAGGATTTGATTTGTAAAACTAATTTAGTTTAATGGTTTTTCTGCACAAAACCCTATTCTTGACGGGAGTACTCAGATTTGGAAGAAAAAAAAAACAATCCTACTCTGACATTTTGTGAATTCGACCAAAACAAGATTTTGTAAGTTCTTTAACAAAAAAAAATAATTTAAAGGAAAATTTTCTTTTGAAACCACCTATACATTCAAGTTAAGTTGTGTAAACACTTGATTCAACCTATATTTCATGCATTTCTCATTCAAAAGTCGTAATCAGTTAACGAAGGATATAATGATCACCTCTTTTGCTTTTATATGTGAAACTAGGAGAGAACCCGCGCAATGCGCGGGTTTATTAAACCAAATATTTTTAATTTAATTATTCAGA